AACCTTCGACTTAAGTCTTAAACTGAAGTCTTTGGTATGATCTAATATAAGTTTGGACAAGCCACTGCAGTGGTAGAAATGAACCTGATATATTTGAGATGTACCTCAAAATGTGTCTATGATGGCATTTCCAGTGGAATTATGTGAGAAGCAGTTCTATATACCACTAAATGACCATGACTGGTACAGGAAGTTTCAATAAAATAGTGCTCAGATCGTTTCTTGTGCTTTGGATGCAACAGTGCATGCATCTTAAATTTAGCTGCGAAGTTGTTGTGTTTAGTTGTGTTGTTACAGTAAAATGTAACTGTAAAATGATGTATGAAGTGTACAAGTTTGTACACTAGCCCAGTCTAAAAAAAACATTTTATTTACATAGTGTGACTGTAAAATACATGCACTGGCATTCAGCTGCAGATTACTTCCAAATATAACACAGGAAAATAAGCATATGAAATCCAGTACGTCAGTATGTTTTGTAGTAAAATAGCATTTGCATGGTGGCTTTCTTACACTATTTTTTAAAGGAAATAATGAGGAGAGACAGCAGCTCAGTCATATCTTCCTGCTGGGTTCCTACTCATTTCCTTCACAAACCTTCATCAAGTAATTGTACAATTGCAAAAGAATAAACATACTGCAAAAGAATCACCAGATTAGAGAAAAGTGCCCAAAAATGAATTATTCCATAATGTAAGTGAGTTATAGCCAATGAGGAGGCATTAGCATAACAGTGACTGCTCTTTTGACCTCCCTTGCTCACTCTTTCCATTCAAACCTCCAAAGGGGCTATTTGGGCTAAGGTTTAGGTGGAAGGTGAGGGAACTCCAACCTGACCGAGCTCTGTTTCTGCAAGGCGACACCACAGATCACTCACTAGATCCTGTTTCATTTAGTTTGAGAGGCAAGACAGAACACTCTGGCTTTTTGTGCGCATGTTCCATTAACGTGTAAATTCCACTGCTCTGACACAATAGCACAGATAGTCAATCCCACTAATTACACTATATTACATAAAGTCAAATTTGTGAGATCTCTCTGGGTGGCTGCTCAAAACAGCAGGGCTCAAAACTAGCCACAAACCAAGGTCATACATTCCTAAAAGATTTTCTTCTCTTCCAATTAGGATTATATTCTTGACCAGTAACTTGCTGGTGCTATGTCTATTGCACACTGTTTGTCCTTTTGTAACATGATCTCTCCCATCCTACCCTTACCACCTGTCCATCGCATTAGCCTGCTGTCTTTCAGCTCCGTCTGCAACCTAAAGCCTTTTTGTGGGCGATGGGGTGAATTTACATGTGCTTGTGAACCAATGTGCAACATGTCCCTAACCTTCAGGTACAAGTACTTAAAAAGCACCCTTAACAATTCCCTGTGCAAGGCTACATTCAACTGACTTAGCCATGCTCGGCCCACAAATGTATTATTTTATAGCAACTGTTTCGAGGTTGGACAAGCTTTACAGAACACAGACAACAATGCTGTGCTACTGAGCTGTTTTAGCTCGTTGAAACGAGGTAAGGCTGGAAAAACAATTAATCTGCCACCATGCTTGAAAAACAACAACGTCAAATCTATTATAACCATATGAATTTTCACATGAACACAAAATAAATCTAATTTGAAATGAATAACTCTACATTTCAGTATTTTGCCAAAAGGTTGTACAATGTCTCATTACGTTTGGTAAAGCTTGTCCAACCTAGCAACGGTTGCTATGAAAGAATGCATTTGGGGGTGCAGCATGAATAGATCAATTGCTCTTTCTGTTTTAAAAATGCTCTGAAGTGATTAACTGAGATCACAAGGGAGGTCTGGAACTAATTTGAAAGAAAAGAAAAGAAAAGAAAAGAAAAGAAAGTGAACACTGTTAAAACAATGACAACTTCACATTTCATAGGTATAATGATAATACTTGGTACTTGACCTTGGTTGGTTGGCTGAAGTAAATATGGTTACCATCAGTCAAACAGTGAGGGGTTATTCTGCTAACATGGTGACCACTCTCACTGTTACACATCGTATGGTACACTGACATGGACACCATATCAGAGTATCTTACGAGATAAGAAAAACCCACACTAGAGCTCCATGTGCTTAGCTTATTTGTCAGTGTTTTAGCCTCAAGGCCTTAATGGAGCTTTAGTGTGCACTTTACTTCTTGTTTATTTTTAAGCAGCTATTACAGTTAAATCTTCCTTCATAACAAAGTCTCTAACCATTATGGATTGGGTCAATATGATGTACAAACGTTTAAAAGCAATGCAAAAAAGTAAAAAAAAAATGAATTAAAATGTTGTGCGCTTTAAAGGAGGTTAGAGTTTCATTTCATGTTCTGAGAAATCTGATCTTTGTGGTCAACATGTTTGTAGTTTTGTATAATACACTGCTGCTTTACTGTGAATTCTTAACTATGAATCTGTTTTCCTCTCTTAAAGCACCCAAAGTACATACAGTAACACATTTTACAGTCCTTGTCGGCCAACACCTTTCTTGAAGACAATATACCTTCACTCTTAAAAATAAAGCTGCCAGAAAAGGTTCTTTGCACAGTGTTATTTAAGAACCATTTTTGGCTTCCTAAAACAGTTCCCTGTGGACCTTTCAGCAGATTGTTCTTTTGTAAATGGAATGTGTGATTGTGAAGAACCTTTTTAAAGTTTAAACCTCCACATAATGTAAAGGTTCAGGGAGAACTGTGTAGAAGCCCATGAAAGGTTCTTCAAATTCACAAAAATGTTTATAAACATGGTTCTTTAGGGAACCAAAAGTGGTTCTTCCTGCTCAAAGAACCTTTTGTGGTGCCTTTTTAACACCCTAGGCAACAACAGTGCTTTACAGCCTCAGGAAATACTTTGTCAACAATTTCTGCTTTTCATTTAACCATTTAGTGTTTTCAACAAATGATAAATACATTCCTTCAACTCAGACTACAACAGATTTCCATTACGTTAATGGATTTTATTAAGATTTTGAGCCCCAATCTGGATTCAAATCCATTCAAATATTTTGGGTTTTGGAGGTTAAGAGAAATACAATGAATCATATTTCTCAAACTGAAGTGGTAGTAGTTCGTTCATTACAACTTGATCTTTACCTTAAATATTTAATGGCCTATTTCTTAAACAGGCTGTTCCTGGATGATCCATGTGATCTATCATAGCAGCATAAAATAAAATTTAAAAAATAATAAAATAAAAGAAAATATTTGAAATAAATAAACAAAAAATAAGAGCTCAAAATCTTAAATGATTTTTTCTTGAAGTCAGTTGCAAGAAACAGACCAGGATGGGCCAAGTACCCTCAATTCCTTAAGGACATTGTATATTAGACATCATTACAAGAACCACCTACTGCAGTCCAAGTGAAGGTGGAGAAGAGAACTTCCTGTTCCTCGGTAGTTGTAGGAATAAAGAAAAAAGTCCCACCACAGGACAAAACATATATGGGGTTTGGGAGGAGTTATTAACGACTGTGAAACCTTAATAGGAAATAGCAAATTTTCTTGATTTGTATACTGTAGACAGGGATAGAGTAATTAAGAACAATAATTTGTGTTAATGTACTTTAGTGTTTTGTGTTAGGCTCTCCCAAAGGACTATGTCGTGTATAATAAGCCATTCTGGCCATTTTGTCTTGTGTTACATGATATTAAAAACAAAACTAAAAAGAGAGAATAACCAAAGATGATAATCAGAAAATTGAACTTTCAGAGTTGATACTCCAGACCACAACATTACAACCAACAATTACCAGCAGAACCAATACATTTATCAGTAATGCCTGACTTCAGGTCTGATATTTACTTTTAAAGACATCATATGTGGCATTCTTATCACATCAGATTTACTGGAAACTCAAACAAGAAGCATTTTCATTGACAGAATGGCCAGTATGGATACTATAACGGGTTGTCCTTGCTTAGCTCACAACTTTTTAGGGTTTTCAATTTGGTAACCCAATCATTTCGGGCATGGCAGAATGGGTTTGCAGGGAGAGGGGATGGTAGAAATTCTTGCACAGATTCTGCATCTTCAGCTTTTGATGGAATATACTGGAGCAGTGATCTTTTTGTGGCAGAGGAACTTCTTCCTGCGGTGATTATCTTCCTTCTTTTTTCATTTGGGCTGGTTTTCATACTCTGCAACTCTTCATCTCTCAGTTGCAGGGCCAGCCAAGGGCTCAGTTCTGTGGTGCATCTCATGCTATTTATAAAGGCTCAGCAGTGCGTTCATTTGCAGTTGCTTCCGTCAAGCTCGTCCAGAGGGAGAATTTGGGCTAACGACAGAGTGACTGTCCTCGTTTTTTTTCTTCTTTGCTCTATATATGTGTGTTAAGGTTCCAAATATTGGAAATGTTGATCAATGTTCTTCAGGTTTTAGTTTGATGATAAAAAAATATGCTGAGTCAAAAGTGAATGTGGCTGTCATCTTCATTTTTCTCCAAAATGAGTTTTTTGTGTTTGTTTCCTGATAAAATGGTTGTATCCCCTGAGTCAACTAAAGACAAAGAGGTCAATTGTATTGGAATGAACTGTTGCAGTCACTAGGGTACCAAAATCATTTGTGCATTATAAAACTGGAGGTCTTCTAGGTCCAATATCTCACTTGTGGTTCTTCATAGGTCTTCAGAAAAAAACTTGTTTAGGTGCTGTTAATATCCTCTCAAATGGGTTGCCCACTGACAGTATGTCTAAAAGTTGTCATGTCTAGTTAGCTTTTCAGTTCCTGAATTCTATTCATTTTTCTTTTCATATCATTCAGTCTTTCAGCTAGTTGCATGATAATTACAGAAATAAATCACCTATTAAATTAAACCTAAAAATGATGTTAGTGTCTGTAACACGTTATTTGCTCTAAATTATGTCACAAATAACCTAGCAAATTATATTAGCAATGTTGTAATGTACATTCTAAATTGCACATTTCATCTACAGTGCATCTGTTTTAATAAAATTATATTCTTCATATTGCAGTTCCTGTCAAATATATCAAATATATATGGTGATGCCACAACAATACTAGCAAATAAGGTCAAGTGCATAAAATAAAGCAAGCATTTAAGACTGTAATTATGAGCAAATTTCTCTGACTGACATCAACTACTGTGCGTTTAATTTCAAAGCACTGGAGCAGAAGCGAGTAAATAAGTCCGGGGAAGATGTTTCACTAACCTAACAGAAACAACAGCTGTATCTTTTTTTAAAAACGTGAGATAAGCGTTGATTTAACCTGAGGAAATACTAATCACTTCAAACTGTATGCATTTAATCACAATGTTTTCGAAGTATTCTAGATTTCCTTCTGGGTATGCTGCAAGAAAGAATGCAATAAAATTTTGTGTTATCCTCAACATTGGCAGCTACAGTGCAACATTCAGACAAAATAGTCTCTAAAGCAACCATCCCACCATCTATAGCGAGATATTCCATTTAGATTATTATAAAGTGCCTTAAAGGTTGTGCAGTCTTCTTTGCAACTCAGCATGTGTAAATCCACACACACTGTACTGCATACTGAAATAAGTTATGTAGCTTAAACTTTCAAACTAACCGTTGCATATGAAGTTGTATCTGTTTTTTTAACCATGTTGTTTCATTTTTTGCAATTGAATCCTTACGAGAGGCGTTATTAAACTAACTGTGAGACTTCAAGTATTCAATTAATCTATAAGGACATTTTAGTCCTCAGCTTGTTGTTTTATCTACAAGGTTAACGTTTTGTTCTGGGGCAAGATATGAAAAGAAACCATCTGAGAGATGTCAAAGCTCTTCCAGTCTCTACTGTAGTTTGGCGTTTGGATGTGAGGAGAGGGGTGTCTTCAGATCCTCGTTCTTAGCTGTGTCCATCCCTCCTGCTGCTACACGTCAGACTCTACCACGCACTGCTCAGTGTATTGTTTTACCAGCTCCACTTTCAGGGTCTCCTTGAAGAACTCAGCCATGGGCTTCCACAGGGGTGGGTCCAGGAACACCTGGCACATCACATGACCTTTCAGCGTATTGGTGTGGCGTCTCAAGTGGCACAGGAGCTGCTGGACAGCCAAAGCCAGATCTTTTCCAAACATGTCAATGTTGAGGTAGTACCAGTCGTCGCCAATGGGCACACGAAAGGGAAAGGTGCACAGGCTGGCCATGGATGGGCAGCTGATGTCATCCACCATCCAATCAATGTCCTTCTTCAGCAGGATCGCCATGTTGCTGGGCAGAGGCTTGAAGGGCTGCCAGTCCTGCACAATGGTGGCATTGGGTAGGACATCCTGCATCAAACCGCTGCTCAAGAAGAGCTGGCGAACCTCTGAGTGTTCCAAGCGCACTGGAATGTTGGCAGGGGCCAGGTCATTTCCTGTAATGCCCACATTCAGCCCAAGATCAGTAAGATGTAGCTTTAAGTCTTCTGCACGGAAGCGGACCAGGAGGATTGCCTTGAAACAGGAGTTCAATGGTGGAATGAGAGAGTGTTGCCTGGTCCGTATACTTAGTTATCAATAACCCCTATCGTTCAAAGTAAGGACGGTGGACTCAACAGTACCTACTTGTGACCGTGTACCACAACGTTTTGTCAAAGTGAGAGTCAAAGTATTGAGATACCAAAGAAAAATTAAAGTATTTACATTAAATGTAAATGAAGGAGTTTAAAAGGCTTTGCAAACGTAGTGAGTCACAGGTTATTGTTGGGAAATGTAATCTAGTGGTGTTTACCTGTTTTGTGATGAGTCTGTACTTCTGGAAGTCCTTAGGTCCCAATTGGTCATCTCTGGTCAGTCTACTCACTTTAACGTCAGGGTACTTGGACTTCACAAGCTGAGAGCAGAAACGGAGCAGCACACCCGCCACACCCTTGCCCCTCTCCTGAGGGGCCACACGAAGCCCCTCCACCAGCATAGTCTCGCCATCATCAATAACACACACTGACTCAAGTGCAATCTGGGAAATATAGGTAAAGGCATGGCTGAATTGTTTATCCAGAGATAGCAAGGCAACAGTTTTAGCTTAGTTAGCTTTAGTTTAGGTTATATTACAAATGTTTTAATTAACACGTGTAATAAAGGTAGATGGTCCTACCACTTTGCCTTGCTTGCGAGCCAGGATGACAGTGCGGTTGGTCTCCTGCAGCCAAGACTGGTAGCGGGTGGGAAGGTAGTCTAGGCCCCCATAGATATCCTGGCTCATGGCCATGATGTCATCAAAGTCTTCCTCAGTGGCCACAGTGAACTGCAGTCCAGTTTGAGGATGCACCTCGGGGAGCTGCTGGCAAGGCAGGCTGTTCTCGATCTTCATCCTTATTGCTGAGGGAGAAGAAGGGTGAATAATGGAATGAAGTGTTCTACAAGGTTTAAGCCTTGTGGCTTCAGATCTACCTGCTTAACCCAGCTTGGGCTGTGGCTTTAGCTCTGCTTGATGATCAAAAAAGAGTGAAGTTCCTCTCTATCCTTTTATATTTTTTTCTTCTTTTTCCCTGTGTTCATTGGTCAAACATTTAAGAAATCTTCATATCAATCAGCTCTGTTGCAAAAAGTACTTCACATTAAGCCTAGTTGACAGCAAGGGTCTTTCAGAAGATCCCTTGGGTGCATAAGATGATAGTACTATAAAATCAACCCAAAGTGGTGATGGCCCCTCCAGGTCATGTGAGGCGTAGTGTTAAATGGCACAGTGTTTACCTCTCTGCACAGTATGGCAGTAGGTTGGCATGATCATTGGCAACTGGCAACCATAACCAAATTCTCACTCCCCTCCTCTCTACATCTCCATCTCTAGTTGCCAGAACCCTTAATCCCTGTTCTAATTCCCACTCAGCTTCTCAGGCCTGGCTCCCTTCAGAAAACAAACACATTTTTTCAGGCCTAGGAAGATAATGGGGTGAGATATACAAGAATGGTATCAGGGAAAGGTAGAGCGGATGGGCAGGCATTTGTGTGCAGGCATGCATGCATGGCAGAGAGGAGTGGAAAGGATTGAACTGACTGAAAGACTCTGGATCTAAATGTCTGCACAGTGGGAGAAAAAGGATGGACAAGTCCCAGAGAAAACACTGTCTGGCCCCCAGGGTAGACAGGGCGAAAAAACACTCTTGTATTTTTCCATCAGTACAGTGTCGAAATGCAAGTGACGTCCATCAATAGTGTTCTCTGACAGCTTATCTAAGCGTGGTACAGAAACAATGGGATTATGCTAGCCTACTTATTCACGGGCATGTGATGGGAGTATCGCCTATCAGCGGGTTCTCGGACAGCTTATTTGGGTGAAGCTGAGAGACAAAGGGATTACGGTGCTTTTTGCGAGTGTGTAACAAAAGTTTTCATTCATGGTCCGTTCACTGATGTTCAGCGCAGTTTGATTTGCCTGATGCACATGTGACCCAGCACATGTGAAGTCCTTCATTTGCCCTTCCATTTGTACTGGAGCATTTTGACTGATTAGATGTCAGATGATTCTTTCGACCCAAATCAATCGCTGCGCGTCTGTCTCTTTCCCTTGTTTTGGCCTAATTAATGTGCTGTCCCCTCCCCGCTGTCCGCGACCGTTATTGACCTCAAATTCATTCAGCTCAGAAGACTTTAACAGGGAGATCTCAAGCCACCAGTTATCAAATTCTATCAGATTAAAAGGTGAATAAAGGGTTTACCACCATAATAAGATGAAGTGCAGTTGTTGTTAAGAAAAATATTCTTTAAAGGAACCAACAAGATTTCAAACAGACATATGACACATTAATAATTACTTTTTGATGATAAATAATTACTTATCATGAAATATTTATTTGAATAGTCAAACTCAGTAGGGCCAGCAGAGACGCTTTAGTGACTTGTGCAACACAACACCTGTCTTCACATGTTGACCTGTGTGACATATATGACCAAAGAGGGACAAAATGGGGCTTCTCAAAGTTTATTGACATGTAACTGCATTTCAGAGTGTAGTAAAATCTCATTTCAGATCCTACCTCTCCTCCATCAAAGTGGATCACACAGCTGTGAATGCTTATTGTAAAGGATCATTATCATAGGAGAATTGACAGTATGTCACCTGGCAAAACTGGATGAAGTGAATCTCATCAGGGACCTTTAGCTAGGTTATCTCTGCAATTGTAATAATACAACAGTTTCAAACATTTTTTAATATTACCACTAAGACTGCATTACCTTCAGCAATCATGGACACCTTCTGTTCCTCACACCACCAAATACAGCAGACTGGATGATGTTTAAGTACATTACTAGACCAAAAAGCTCACAAATACATAACCCTGGATATAAATAAATATATAAAACAGCATGAATTGTTTTACTGATAAAAAAAATTATAAAAGGTTTATAATTATAAAAATCATTTAAAGAAAATATTGCCATTTTCTTTTAGTATTAGTTTCAGCCATCCATTTATTTCTTGTATCTTGCTACAATCAAACTGATGCAAATGTAGAAGATTTTCAGAATTTAATGCAAATAAAAGCACACAGATAAAGAAATATTTATATAAGGGGGATAAAGGTTAAGATACAGCAAATTAAAAATGTAAAAAAGTGGAAAAAGAAATAAATGGATATTACATGAATATGCAGAAAGGTACAATTTCACCCACTATCTCCCTCTCTCTCTCTCTCTCTCTCTCTCTCTCTCTCACTCTCACTCTCTCTTTCCCCCACCCTCTCTTTCTCACTCCCTCTCTCTCTCCTCTCTCTCTCTCTCTCTCTCTCTCTCACTCCTCTCTCTTGTTTATTGTTTGTGTGTTTATATAACTTGAGTATTTATTTGTCAATCGTGGTTAAAATCCAATGACGTTGGATACTGGCACTCATTCCTCATGCCTGTGATCCCGCAGAGTGCAGAGTTCACAACCATCTGGGTTCTAAATCTCTCTATAATTCAGATGATTAAGATTTATAATAGGATACAGCTTGGAAAACATTACTTAATATTACTTAAGATTAAGGGGACTGTGAATTTGAAAAAGAATTAATCCCAAAGATTGCCTAACATTATACATTATATGTATGTTGGTGTTTTTGGTCTGACTCATTTCCAATGCATTCCCGCTCCGCTGCACTAAAAATCAGATTTCTGTTTACAGCTAATACCACAGGAGTCCTCTTCCCATGTGTTTATATAAGCATCATTAAAGCAGATTATGCATGTAGACCTCAAACGTAACCCTCTGTCCGAAAATAAAGCCCCTGTTCTCACATTTTCAGCTTTTTTAATGCCTGCAGTACCCATGTATGCAAAAACTGTTGAGGGATTTGTGAACTTCCCAATAGGATAAGATTCAAGTATCCACTGGAAACATTTCCAAGCAGCTTATCAAAACTCAAATTTAGAGCATGTTCTTTCTTTCTGCAATTCTTTGTGGTGTAAGTCATCATAGCTTGCGCCCTTTCACCTAAAACCTGAAGACTTCATTGTAGATCAATGGCAGAAAATGTATATGGAAAAAAGAGAAATTAATATGGGATAGTGAGCTGCACAAACAGTGTCAAGAAAATATTCAGAAAATTGTATATTGTTTGACATTTTTAGTCTAGACCTATTCATGACAATGCCCATATGTAATACATGTTCTGTCAGCAACAAATTTCACCCCAGTCGTGATCCATGTTTTCACATGTGATATGGATCAAAGAGAAGCATACAGCGTTGGAAAATGTTTGCCTTCTCACCTATAATCTTAACAAATACACGTTCCTACATGGTTCTTGGCTCAGAAATACAGTTATACAGAAAACCTTTAAATGGTATAGGACACATTAAATGGAGGTTCTTTGAAAGGTTCTACACACTCACATATCATACTTACATCCCTAAAATGTTGTTCTTTCATGGTTCTTCTTCAAAGCCAATACTTATCTATAGAACCATGACAACTCAAAGAACCTTTTGAACAGATAAAAGGCTCTTTGCATGCTTAAAAGGATCTTCACCATGACTGAGCACTTGAGCACTGACAAAGGTTTGACTATTGTTACATGTCAAATAACCTTTTTTGGTATTTTTCCTAAGAGTGAACAAAAATAGTTCTTTAAAGATTCTTAACAACACCAAAAGTGGTTCTTCTATGGCATCACTCCAAAAAACATTTTTGCACCCTTATTCTTAAGAGTGTAATCCTTTATTAACAGAAACAAGTTTCTACAGACAGCATTAATTTCTGTGAAAGAAAAGGTGCTGGAGCAGTATCACCCGTGCATGTTGATGAGTGGGCACATTATGACCTAATAGTCAAAATGACTTTGCAGTATTTTGAGCTGCACCAAAAGTAAGTGAGGGTCATAAAACTGGCCAAGCATGACCCTGGTGCCTGCCCTCCATCACTGCAGCACTCTGCCTCCAACCTGAGCCCATTAATCTTGGAGTGTCCCCTCAACAAGGGATAATGCAGGAACATAGTGGGAAGGTACAATGCTGTAGTGCAGAAATGAGGACAGGCTCATCTGGGGACAGTCAATTTTCTTTTATATAGACTGTTACCAAAATGCAGCAGTTCAGCTTCTCTGTGAGACTGAGCACCTAAAAAAATAAGCGCATAAAAAACAATCCTAAATGCTACACAGGAAAATCGTCATCACTGTGTTTTATTGATCATTGGTTACAACAATGGATTGCTCTGTAAGACTTTAAGAGGATTTTGAGACTGCATGTACAGTGACAGCAAAAATTCTAAAGCATAGAGCCATAAGGAAACAAAGTATATATATATGTGTGTGTGCATGTGTGCAAAATAAAGCAACGTTGGCTTTCTCTCTCACATGCACACACACGCACACACACACACACACATGCGCATGCACACATACACAAACACACACACACACATTCTACCATCCTACCATTGTATATAATCTCATTTTATTATCTCACTTTCAAAAGCGTATACTGTCTGTTCAGTCTAGAGAATGCAGAGCTACTAAAAGGGAAATCAGCATAATCTTTACATAATTCAGCTGTACATAATGGACACAAGGTCGCGAGCTGCAGGCATGATGAGGTATTGCTCAGAGCATCCTCCTCCTCCTCGTGCATGACCTGCATCCTGCCTGCCCCCATACTAAATCATGAACCAGCTGGCCATCCAGGCTTAAAGCATTTTGCAAATGATCATATTTCAGTAATTAAAACTAGAGGATTAAATGTGTAATGCCTAGAAATAAGATTCTTTTCTTCATTCAGTGACAATTTATCATACTGAGCATGCGCATATCTTTAGTACAGCGTAGTAACTCAATGTTTCAATGTTTTATCGTGTTTTAACCTCAATTCAGTACCGGCTCCTTACCACTTACCTCCTGATGAGGTCATTTAGGCTATCTAAATATCCTTCCTATACATTTCAATGCTGGTGACGTTTTCTGATAATGAGATTTAGGCTAAATCTAAACATCCTACCTGTAGTTTTATGCAGAGTGCTACATATAAATATGCGGTACAGTAGGACATTTCGACAAGGTAGCACAAATAAGCACGTGCGTAATTTCTGCGATATTCCGCAAAGCGCAGTACACAGTAATGGATAACCTATAGAAGTCAAAGGAGGAGGACTGTGTGAGTCGTTGGTGGGAGAAGAGCGCATCGCTCAGGAACTGCGCTCCAATGTAGCCGCTGCGCACACAATCAGTATGACCTGGATTTGTTGAAGCCGGGCAGAAAAAACTGAGCAGCTTCTCATCATTTTAGCCATTCCCTTTGAACCTCTCTGCGATATCCCATAATTGGGCCATACAAAATGGCCGTTGGGGGTTGGGGGGCTACAGAGAGAGTCGAATGTATTCAGTGAATGAATGTGTGCAGCCTATTCAGTGCTGCGGATAGACAGAATTATGCAAAGACGAGCAGAAAAAAAGGGCCAATGTTTGAAGCACCGCATCATTGGAATTTCAAATGCAGGCCAATGTCATCATATTGTCGCATGCACAGTGTCCATACAGGCTACAATGCAAAGAAGCCCTCGGATGTGGCATCTGACGTGGAGCTTACAGTGAAAGAGGACGATCAGAAATGTTGATGGAATTTTACCCACCTTGAAAGGCGCCTGGAGGACGTTAGCAGGAGCGGAGAAAGAGACAGGTCTCAGGCAGGCAGGCAGGCAGACAGGTGCAGAGTGAAGGCGAGATACAGCCAGTGTGCAGAGACTCAGCTGATGAGAGAAATTTTAGCCCCTGCCGGTTCAGGCTCTCAATATAGGCTATCACTTCTAAACCCCGCCCACAAACCCCGCCCCCAGAGAATCAGTGGGCACGACGTACCCCTCAAACGTCATTCAAGCAGCCTCTCAGACTTTCTCTCTCTCTCTCTCTCGCTCCTCTTAGCCTAAGGATGCTGCTGCTGCTGAGCTCGCCTCTGATTGGCTCTTCTTTCCTCCTAATGAAAGAAACATGACTAAATAAGGTTCACTTTCATTGCACCAATAGGGCTTATGTTACTTTCACAAACTGTTCACGAATCCTGTAGTCATGTTAAGTCTTAAGGCTTTAAAGAGTGTAAGGGTTTGAAAACAAGGTAATGGCTGCGTCCAAACCACGCACTTCCATACTACACTACGTCTAATGATGGTGCACTTTTTACACATCATTTAATTCAGTTCAATTCAATTCAAGTAAACTTCGTTGCCATTATACATACATGGGGGTGCATTATAACGAAACACGTCCAGACTACTTCTCTGTTGCATAAAGATTAAGACAAGGGCATGTACTAAATGGACGACATCAATATGTATTCAAAAAAGTACAATAACAAACACACAAGACTATTAACAGACAATAAATAGAGAAAAAAATAGAGACACCGAGGTGTACTGGTGCATAGACAGTGTATATACAAATGAGCAAAATGTGCAAATTTTGTGCAGCAATTTTTTTCAGAGGCAGTGTACAGTAAACATATTATGAATGTTGCTTCAAGTGTCCAGTACAAGTGGACATGGAGTCAGTAGTTACTAAAGTTACTAGTAGTTAGTAAAATTAAAGTGCAATGTGCGTATCCCTGTGAGGCCTGGCAATTCATTTTTGTCCTCTGTGTGGTACACGAGTCCCCAAAGGATATTTAAAAAACCATATAAGCTACAGTGTTGAAACCTGGTGGTACCATGTAGAGGACATCCTGGTCTTTCCAATGATATATCAGTTGTCAGAAGTAAGTAGTTATATATGCAGTAGTAAAATATGCATTTATAATGTTTCTAAAGCCTATAGTTGATATGTTTCAGGCAGAAAACCTTCAGGTAATTTTCAAAGCAGTTTTTTTAAATGCATAAAAACCACCTAACAGCATACGTTTTTTGATGTCCTCTGTGGTGGTCATTGGAACTTACAGTATATATCTGTTTTTACATGAAATTCATGGTATCACAGGTGATAGGAAATTGACTGAGGCAGAGGAAATTAAAGGATGACCACACCCCTCTTGAACCAGTTTGGGTTAGAAGCAACAACATGTAAGCTTAACAGTTAAATACATTACTGTGATATTACTGTATCTATTTTTTTTTCTTTTAGGTCCTCATTTTTTTTGTACTGCCAGTATTTTAAGTTTTACTCTTACTGCTAAATGGATGACTGGAATAAGTGTATGCAAACATTTAAGCTTGGGATCTGATCTTTATGTAATCTCCTAATTTATTAGAAAATCTCCTTTGACACAGTTGTACGTTTAAAAATGAAAACATTAAAAGTAAATGAATTCTCATCTCTCTCCATGTATACCTAAGATTCATCCCTACCATGGAACAGTTTGCTGCTGAATGACGCCCAAAGCTGCACTGACTGGACACCATGGAATTACTTTGAGCAGTACACTGATGATGAGGACTTTAAAGATTGATGACAACGTTTTTCAAGTTGTTGCTGATGTTGCAGCAGGGTTTTGGTATGTTGCAGTATAGGAAACAAAAACATGAAGCATCAACATATCCACTATGCAACGTCATGTTGTCCACTATAAAGGACATTACATAAAAATAAATACAAAGTGTTTTTGAAAAAAACATCACGGAGACAAGTTTTTCAGCCAGTAGACTTATTTTATCTTAAAATTACTGAAATTCTCAAACTTTAATTCTTCTGGGTCTCAGGAGGATATATTTGGAGTTGTGTTTGTATTCATGATCTGGTAGGTGCAGTAGGTGTGACAAGTTTAACAGCTTGGAGTTAGAAACTGTTTTGCACCTGGTGGTTCCACCTCAAATGTTCTGATATTTCTTCCCAGGTGGCAGCTGGTGGAACAGGAAGTGGCTGTGGTGTGTGCAGTTTGAGGTGATACTGATAGTTTTCCTCAGACATCTTCTACTGTAAATGGTCTGTGTGGGTGGGAGGAAAGCTGCAGTGACAGACTGCGCAGTTTTCACCACTCTTTGCAGGGCCTTCCGTTCTGCAGCAGTGGAGCAGCCGTAGCATGCGGCTTTGGGATGCAGCCCATGATTGCTCCAAATTAAAGACATGATTCACTGAAAAATTCAGATTTATCCAGTTTTCCCTTCACATAAAACATAGTTGATGGGCCAAGACATGTTTGATGTCTGATGACTATGAGGCTAATGCAGTTAACAAGCAATAAAAGCAATAGCAGTGCCAGTGGAGGGGCATGACAAATTTGCGGCTGGGTCAAACCATGAATGTCAGTCCTGAGGCTGGTGTCTCCAACAAAGTAGTATCATAACCATGACTATGCATAGAGCTCAGAAAGGGAATACAACCTAAAACTGAGCAGTATAAACAATCTTTAGTGTAATGATGCTAATTACACTATTTTCTGACATTAAGTAAAAGGATTCAACTGTGTATTTGCAGTACATATACTATATTTTTTATTGTAATATATTGTATTGCATTTATAAATACAATTAATTACTGTGTTCATATAGTTTTCCTGCACTCCTATATTTGTAATGTACCACTCATATGTGCTCTAGTGTGCCCTCCCAGCTATCTGAGGACTGTGTAGTACACTGTGTAACAACATAAGCAAATATGATAAGTATAGATAGTAAACTTCTGGTAACATATGCTTGAATGTTCATGTAGACTGTTTCTTTAAGAAAACAGTCATGCTAGTTTCACACCAGCATGTGGCTGTTTATCAATCACATCATGGTAGTAGTCAAATATCTATTCATTATAATATTAGCCTATGAGATGAAGTGGTTAACTAAAACACAATCCTGACTAAAATAACAAAACAAGACAGGCTGCAGAAAAGCATCACTTTCAAAACACCAGCTAATTACTCTAAAATCCAACATTTCAGCTTTATTTACAAGAAGCTGGACCTGTTCCTCCCAACATGCGTCACGTTTTACAGCAATCTGCTGTAAAGGAATAAGGAATACAACTTTAAAATGCTTTAAAATGCTCATTTTTTCTAAATTATTTCATTTATTTATGAGTTGGTTATGTTTTTAAATGATTTTTCTATGATCAGTTCAACACAGTTGTTGCCAAAAATAAGTAAACTAAACAACAAAGTTGTGCTGCATTTTATGTAATACATGTATAATAATTATTATTATAATAATAGTAATGCATGTTATGCGCGTGAAAATGATGTACACATTCAAATAAATTCAGTGCACTGCACTGTCCCTCTCTGTCTCAGTCAGCCAGTCTGTACATCAGGTACCATTCAGAGAACATTCACCACAGTATATCCCTGTTATATCCTTTAAATACTCATTTTTAAAACCTTACTTGCTTCATTCAAACACCCTAGTCACTACCGACTTCTCAGTACATTAATTAGACTTACTAGGATTACTGACTTGGATAGTTCATTTCTTAAATCACTTGCTTGCTACTTCACTGTGTTTTTATATGTTCTTTTTAAGTCATATTTTTTTAATGCAATACAAAAGATGTAAGCTATTTTTACAAGACCGTCTTGACAGCAGTAATAATGGCTATAGATTTTAAGAGGCATTTATATGTAACTTTAGCCATAGTTGCTTAATGAAACTCATGTTAACATTTTTACTATCATTATCAGGCTGTATTATAGCCTATTAGACTGGGAGTTTTCTTTATTTTTTCCTAGGTAGATTTCCTGACCTATATACTGTATGTATTATGGGTCTAACCGTACAGGATGTCCTAGATAGGGCATCTATCAGTAAAACTCTTTCTGAAGAGGATTGCAGTGACCCCAAATGCTATTTTGGAAATACAAACCAAGAATGAGGTGTAATATAGGCTGGATAGTGAAGAAGCTACAGCTGCAGTGAGTTGTATCTGTACATTCTGAGAATTTCTATTACTACTGATGTTTGGTGAATGTACTATTGACAGTTTTCTTCCAAGTTATTTCTCTGGTGCTCGAATACTATTCCATATACTACAATATGTGTTCAAAATAATAAAAGCAAAAAAAACAAAATGCAATGATGTGCAAATAATTTAGGCACTATATGTAATTGCAAATAATACAAACACAATATATCAAATGTTGTAACTGAGATATCTTGTTATTTATAGGAAAATATAGGAAAAGTGTCCTCAGGTCCAACAAATCAAAATTTGATTTTTTTTTGGAAATTATGGACATCGTGGCCTTTGGGCTAAAGAGGAGAGGGACCATCCAGCTTGTTATCAGTGCACAGTTTAAAGCCAGCACTTATGATGGTATGGGGGGTGCATTGGTGCACATGGCATGTGTGACCTGCACATCTGTGAAGGAACCATTAATGCTGAACAATATATACAGATTTTAGCAACATATGCTGCCATCTAGACTGCGTCGTTTTCAGGTAAAGCCTGGCTTATTTCAACAAGACGATGCAAAACCACATTCTGCACCACTGTGTTGCATCAACATTCCTTTTAACAACACTTAGCAATTATTTGGAAACTGACGACATCATTTGATCTGAAATATGCAACCATACAGGGCCTTCAGTTTTGCCCTTCATGTTTAGCTATCCCATGGGCACTATTTCACTTTTTTGGAAATGTTGCAGGAATCAATTTTAGAATGAGAGCACAAAAAACAATGAAGTTCACAAGATAAAACACTAAATATCTTGTCTTTATACTATTTTGCTCAAATACATGTCAAAGTGGATTTACAAATTACTGCTTTCTGTTTTTATTTCCTTTTTCTTGGAATTGAGGTTTGGAAGTTTTGTGTGTGTGTGTGTGTGTGTGTGTGTATGTATATACACTGTTTTCAGAGGTGGGTAGTGTGTACATTTACATTACATTTACAGTGTGTGTATTCACTGAGTTAAATGCACTCAAGTAAAATGCTGATGGATTTGCTTTTAAATGATGATACTAATCATTATACTCAAGAACACTTGTGAGGAAAGTAATCTATTTTTATATATTAGTTATTCACTTTAAGTTTTTTTTTTGTTTTAATTTTGTTCTGTTATGTTGTTGATCTGCACTGCTCTGAGACTGATCATCTCTGGTTTCTGAGCTTTATCATTTCATCTTAGACCAAAAGTGTAGCAAAAAGAGAAGAATAGAGCTGCCTTCAGTTTCTATGCTGATAGCGGCGGGACTATAAAATGTACTTTAAAACATTCCACTGCAGTTCTAGAAAAAAACTATGACTGATTTATATACATTCAATACAAAACCAAGCTATTGGTTTTATAATGACTTTTTCTTCAGCACTTTATATTTTCATAATTCTGTCTCTGATTCATGTGTAGCCATTGGGGATGGAAAAGGTTTAAAAACCTTTATGGAGACTGTGTCAAAATCGTATACTTGAAAGCCATTGCATTTAAAGGTGCAGCAATTCAGCAGGGGTGGAGAGTAATTGAGTAATGATACTACAAACTTTAAATAGATGATTCTTCAAGGATTATAAAAGGAATGGTTCCATTAAGAACCATGAATTCCATATAGAACCATTTTGTGCATGAAAGGATATTTGAAAATGATCATAACACCAAAAAGAGTTCTGCTATTGTTACAAGCTTGATATCCTAACAATAGAATTTTGGCGCTATAACCATTTTCAGAACAATATACAACACAATATCCACCAGTTCAAAGAACCATTTCACCATGCAAAGAACCATTTAAGCATAAAATTGTTTTATATGGAACTCATGGTTCTAAATATAACCATTTTTTTACTAAAGAACCATTGAAGAATCAACCTTTTCAGTGTGTAGTATAATTACTGACTTATTCTCCACCCCTGGTGGCCGTTTGGTGCATGTTTCACTCAGCTCTGTTGCGACACCTCCACCAAACGCGGTCTAGCTCCGCACTTTTTGGTCTTTCTGTCGACCCGTTGCAAAATATTTGCATGCGGCAGGAACCGTGAGCAGCAGCGGGCAGTTATTTTGAAGTGACTACAGTGGAGCAGTTCATGGCCTCGAAGGTAAGATCTGACCTGAGAATGGCTCGGAGCAGTCTTACATGCTGGACTGCGCTGCTGGACTGACGGACACAGTATAACAAAGTCGCGTGACTTCTCTACTGCAACGGTGTGTTAGCTAGGTTAGCTAACTGACTTAGCTAGCTTAGCTTACTAGGCAACGAGTTTTTAGCGTAGTTAGCTAGCTAGCTAACGTATAGTACTATGCTACTTCTAACTACTTATATGTAAACTAGTTCAGATTTAAGGCTTTTTTCCTGGAGGGACACGTTGTTGTTAGTTCGCGTCGCATCTGCTGTGCTTTAGTTCTCGTCAGTTTGCTTCTTGTTGACCCAGACTGTTCAACTGGTGATGCGCAAGGATAATGTAAATGTGAGCTGTGTAGGGTCTTAATGTCTTAATGCCCAGGTGATGATCACCTGAGTCATGAATGATGAAGGAAAGCCATGGGAGAATGATTGGGTAATCTAGAGCGACCACTAAGACCTTATTTTTTGTTTGCATCATCATTAACAAAACCATAAAAGTGAAGAATACATTTCTGCTGTCCTGCTTTAGGCCGCTTATTTAGCTCTATTATATACAGTATTAGTGATAATGTAATGTAATTCATTCAGAATGCTCCGTTCTGGGAAAATCTGTCAAGTCACTGTTGTTCACACAGGAACCCGGCGTCTTAATTGTTTAATTCCTCTGAAAGATACGACGTAGAAATCTATTACATTAAATAGATATGAATAAGCCTCTTGATGCCTGAGTGCCTGATTGTTATATATATTGTTGCTGTCCAGTGAAAAATATATATTTCCATTTTGTGCTACTTTTCTGCATCATTTGAGCTCAGTAGCTGGACTTTACATTGTGTGGAAATGTCATGATGATTGGGCCAATAGAAATGCTCCAAAATTGCTTAGAATAAAATCTCTTTACATAAACTTGCATTAAAAGTAAATGAGGTTACTATTTTGGAGATACTTGCTTATTTGAACAGCATATATATATATATATATATATACAAAAATACACACACACACACACGTACAGCATGTTGTAAGACAAAATATTACCTAAAGGAATAAAAGAAAAAAAAACTGTATTAGATTTACCACCATTTTACCATTGCCAACATTTCATGTGAAAGCTCAGAAGACACATGCAGGTCCTGTCATGGTTTTGGGTACTAAATAAAATGCCTATATTTGTGTTGTAGACATAGTGACCCTTATTGTATCACCACTATACCACTATAAAGAAATCAGAGTTGGTAAGTTCTACAATAAACCATTTCACACTAAACACTACTGCAGGAGCTGTACCTACCTTATGGTTGTTTTGTATAAGTTATATGTTTTGGGTGATTTATGTGAACTGCTGCTGCAACACTGCATTTTTCCTTTGGGGATCAATAATGTGCTCTATCTATCTAGCTATGAAACCAATCCAAATGACCGTGTTCACATCTCAGCAATTGATTTGTGCTGAAATTTTGGAAGATTGGTGGAATTTCTCTGTAAGGAACTTACTTAGCACATGTTTAGTAAATGCTTTATATGTCAGGGTGTACCAACTTGCTCATAAGTCATTGGAGCGCCAAAAATTGTATCTTTAGATGTACACATAAAATCTATTTTTTAAATGTTTCAGTATTTTTGTTTTTAGAACTTTTGATTTTTGTTCCATCAGCCCAGTCAAAATGTTTCCTTTCTGAGTTCTTCACCCATTATTGATTTAAAAATTAAGTTAAAATAGATTTTATAGTTACTGCTGTGTCCTGCAATGTATCTGTATTGTACAATGCACTTACTTTTTCAATTCCTTCATCATGGTTAATTTGCAGTTTGTCAAGATCGTGACGTGAACAGATCGTCTGTATTCCAGGCACCATGAAGCCTCCTTCTCGTCATCGGATTGCGCCATCACAGTTTTTGCCCTTGAAAAGGACTGAGTCAACTCGCAGGTTCTTTCTTGGGTGGAAAAAGCAAGAGAAACGGAACCTTCTACATGGCCTGAAACAGCAACAGAGGTTAAATTCAGAGCTGGACCTGTTGGAGCTTCGAAAGAAAGTGCCCAAACGTACTCTGCTTGAGGTATGTGAGCATGCTAAATGAACATCCTCAGTGTATCCCTGATCAAGCCTGGTATAGACCAGAGTGTATCTCCTCCCACATATTCAGTCAGGTATTCCAGCTGGCAGGCAAAACTAAGTCAAGATGGGGTTTACCTGGCCACTTTTGGTACTTGCAGCCATGCTCTACATGACTACTCTATTTAAAAAAGGGAATCAGCAGTGAATAGTATGATAAAGAAATCAATGTAAGGTGTTAATTGGCATTACATTTTTTAAATATGATACTCTCTCAATTATTTGCTTTTTTGTTTTAGGACTTTTACAAAAATTAATTCTGGTTGGTGTAGTTTTTTTTTAGCTTTAAGGCGGACATGCAACTGGTGTTATAGGCAAACAGTTACTTCTAACTGTAACTGTAAATGGAGCAGGGGATTTACAAAGAGAAAACATGCACATATTGCTGTACTAATACTAACAAAGCGGATGCAGAATTTGCAGCTATAGCTATCAAGGTGACCTTTTCCTTTGGTAAAACCTGGACTTATTACCCATGAAAAGTTTCTTTTTTTGTTTTTTTGTAAATATAGCTTTGTGTGGAGTTATTGGGCTAACAAGTGGCTGAAAACATCATTAAAACCTGTGGCATTTCGAAGCACTTAAAAATCATTAAATTGAATTTGTTGATATCTGCAGATACCCTGTGAGGGCAATACATGTAAGATTAAACTAGTGGTTTAGTACAATGCCACTGTATTTTATGTAGTACAAGCTAACTTTTGTGCATGTGAATGTTTTAGCCTGCAAATCAATCAAAATTGTTGTCCCAGTAATGGAAATGTACAGTGTGCTATGTATTCTTTTAGATTCAGAATCTGATAAAGTATTTGAGGACACGAGTGGTGTGGCGAGTGCATCAGCAAGTCCAAAAACAGAAGGGTGAGGAACGGAGGACCAAAGCACCGATTGAAATATGGGCAGAACTGGCGGAGAAAATGGCTGGCATCCATGAGGAAACAATATCCTCTGCCTTTTCTCAAGTATGTAAACAACATTCTCACATGAAAAAAATTGACATTTGGAGTTATTCTCTGGTTGTTGTTTTTTTTCTATTACAAATGTGTTAATTTAAGTAAATCTTTTTGATCTTGTGATTATTCCATGTAACTTGGATTGATGTAATGAAGAGACAGTGTTCATGGTCTAATCCTATAGTGGACACCAAGAAGACTGACCAAACTCTGTACCACTTTAGGTTTAAATGTGTTGTATGCTATACAGTTTATGTTTGACATTGTGGCATATCATTTTTAGGGACCCAATATTATTACTCAACATTTAAACAGATACTCCTTGTCCTTGTAAATTTCGTTTACATTCGACAGCATTGAAAACATGTGTATCAAGTTATGCTACACACGTAAGAATAACCCAAATGTGTATTGTACTGTCTCATTGTGTATATGTATAAAGACAAACTTGAATTTAATTGAATTGATATCTCTATCATCAGATGCTCGTGATTGCTGCCACAGAGCCTTGCAGCCGACAACACTCGGATCCCCCACGTTTCTGCAACATTCTGAGCCCTGCAGCCAACCACCCAAGCACTGTACCAATGAGGCCCACATCTAGATCACACTCTGAATCTGAACTGCCTGCTAGTCCTTCTCCTGTGACAGTCCAACCTGGTGGAACCTGTAAACCCCCCTCTCAGTCACCTGGAAATGATGGAACTTCGAGCCTCTCTGGCATAAGCACAATGGGAACATCCTCCCTCATTCAGCCCTCCTCCATTTCCAGCATTGAGGAGGGTTCAGATTGTGCACAGCCAAGCAGTAATGTGGCAGGTCAAGCGTCAGAAAAGCCATCCACCCCCAGTGCGCCCAAATCAGACCTCTGTCAGCTTACAAGCAGCCAGAATCATACAGTCTCAAAACCAACACCACCAGTGCCCACTACAACTGCTGCATCTACAGCTTCAGTCTCACTCTCATCAAGCTCTAATCAGTTGGATAAGCAGGATGAAAGACAGTCTGAGCAGCCCAGATCAATGAGGATGAAGTATACAATAGATTTTGAGAAGATTTACCAATTTATGAGTGACATTAACTCACAAAACCACAGTCTGACTCTTACTGCAATGGGTAAGTATTCTTCACTGATTTTGTTGTCTTATCATGTATTGGTATTATCTTTAACTGTTATTTAAAACTAGCTACCTAATTAATTATTTTTATAATGACACTAATTTGCTCAAAATGTTTAATATCCTTTATCATAGATTAAGCAGTCACAAGAGGTTTTACATATATTACACTAATTCACCTGTTAACCTACCTTATATTGGCCAGTTTATCATGTACACTTACATAGATAGATAGATGTACCTGATATACTTTTACCAGTGCAAACATGCCACTGCCACGCTGATGTCACCATCTTAAGAATCCACTATCCAAATAATCAAGGCTAGCCTGAATAATTTGAAGGATCCAGTATTTGTTGGCTATTTTGTTAATAGTTTCTCTATTTAGTGTTGGGAAGCTTCACCTTTTTAGGTGAACCACAAAACTTCGAAAAAACAAAAGTTTTTCAACAAAAAAAGCTTTTTAAAGATACATGATATGCCACAGTTTAGTTTTTCTGAGGTCTGATCTCTTGGAACTGACAAAAACAACTGTAAATATCACATTTAAAAAATACTATCAAAACTATGAGGAAAAAAATATTTTTATTCAACATTTGACCTACAGTGCTACACTAATTCCATTTAAACATTCCTGAACATGCGCTTTTTGAAATGAAACATGCAGTTGTTCTAGACATACTAACAGTATTCACAATATGATCAGAAAAGCATATTGTGACATAATTTATCATAAAAACAATAAATATTGTCCAAAATACTGCCCTAACTCAGCGTTAACTTTCCTAAAAGACAGCCAAACACAAGGGATCCATTTCTAAACACTCATTTTTTTAATTCTACATAATTTGAGCACAGCAGCTTTTTATACCTTTATATTAACACAGTTTGTCTCGGAGAACATGGACAAAATTGTTGTCTGCTTGCAGATATTTGTTTCAGGTGTGTTGTGTTCAGGTGTGGTACGTGTTCTAGTTGTGCTGTCGTCCTCTCAAAACGTAGTCCCAAACACCACTAGTTACACGGTTGACTATTAACAGTTAATCAAATAATTATTTACATCACCAGTTATTGTTAATTCATGAAAAATGAAACTTTTCCATACTTTATAGCTGGTTTTATTCAATGCATCCACGATACTCACAACACAACAAACAGCACCACTTTCCACAGGCTCATTGAAGTTTAAAGAGAAAAGAAATCATGTGTAGGAAGACTTTACACCATTGGACAATAAGAAAAAATGCTCAATGCAAAATATGCAGTAAGATGGTGTGTCTTGGAGGCACGACACATTTGATGAATCATCTCAAATATGTAAGTAAGAATAGCAGTCCTTATCTGGTACACAGATGATATCCGTTCATGTAACCACCTAAATCGTCACTTGGACATATTTTGACCAGCAGTAACAAGCAAGCTTAAAATTATAGTTAATTGTGAAGCATAAATATTGTTTTAAGGGTGATTTTGAGAATGAATATTCTGGTTCATTAATACCAATTTGAAGCTTGTAAAATGCTGTTTGGCCAGCCCTACAAATAATATCCATTTTCTGCTGGTGGATAGGGCAGAGGAGGACCGATAAATTGTACATAGCTACAGATGGGCTACAGTCATTATTTGCATACTATTGCTGTCAGTATTGCATATCTGTATGGTGTACCTGATAAGTAATGTAAGGTAATGTAAGATAACGTAAGGTAGTACCTAAGGAACTGTCAAATATAAGAGTATATATTACTGTACTATTGTAATGAAAAATTGTCATTTTACTATCCTCAGAGAGTGCAGTGCTTTTGGACTTGTTGATGTCTTTGCCTGAAGAGCTCCCCTTGCTTGACTGTAAGGAATTGCAGCATCATCTCCTTCAGGTACACACACGTCTGACCACACCTCCTGTGAATGCAGTCTCCATTCCCAGGACTGACCAGAGACCTGCGCCTGCTGAGCCAGTCACAGCTGGCATAACAAAACAGACTGCTACAGTTGATCAACGTGCTAAATGTGCAACCGGACAGAATGTTCAGAAGGAAGGTGATTCAAATTTAGTGTCAAAACAAGGGAATTCTGCTGGATTACCAGTGTCTGAAGGTGAAGGCTCTAGCCAGTCATCTGCAGTCAACCCTCCAAAAGATGGAGGAAATTGGGCAGAAGCTGGCCTGTGTCCGCTAAATCCGTTCATGGTACCAATAGCACTGCTTAAACGGCAGGAGTCTTAGGGTAGTGTTTATTTATTTCTGGCTTTCAGGAACTATGAGGCTGAGGATGCTTATCTTACAATAATTGTATTCCAGTATTCCACTCAAAGATAGTGCACTGCTTGCCCTGTTGGAAGTGTTAAAACTTTTATTACCAAATTGGTTTAAATCAATTTAAAAAATGTTCCCTTTTTTAGATGAGAATTTATAATAGAGATTCACAATAAATCTGTTAAATGCAGTGACATGGATACATTTTTATCACATGGTATTTCAATACAAATTGCTGTGTAATAGTGTTTCTAATGCTAGGGCAGGTGTTCTCGAGGTTCTTAATCAAATCCTTAAGATCCCCATCTTCTCTTGCACCAGACACACCTGAACTAGATAATATCCAGCTGCAGATCTCTTACTGATTTGACTCTGCTACTTTTGTCACTGACACACAAAAACTGTGAACTGGCTTCAGGTTCTTGAGGAATGTATTGTGAATCGGTATACTAATACATTGTTGTCAGTCTTCAGCACAGTGGTGCATTGTGTTTCTGTTCACTTGGCTAATGTGTGTTCTACCAACCGTGCATCATAGGTTGTAGGCATTGTTTGAATTTTGTAGAGTTATATTTTTGCTTTATCAAATAAATTTTTTTTCATTTTGTTTGTGAATAACGTTTGTTCTTTGAATTAAATATGCCAAGGTGGTTCAGTGTCTGTGTTAGGCTTAGATATGTAAACAATTCAGTTTAATTTTGATTCTTTAGAAACAGGTCTGTTTATCAGCAAATCTCAAATGTCATTGCAATTCAGTTAGTTCAACATTGACATTCTTAAGAATTATGTTGAATACACTCAATATACAAATGTGACTGTAGGAATAAGCAGCATGTAGACAACAAAAACAGTATCCCAGCCCTTTTCCCCTTATATATCTTTCTCCCATACTTATTGCCGATTTCCACTCACTAACTACAGGCAGGGGACAATTAAAGGAAAATGTGTATAAATGAAAGAAGAAATATAATAAGTGCAGATGCCTCCAGACTGGTGTACTTTGCATTTTGCTCTCATGCTTTGGGTCCACTTTTCTAGTTCAAGGGAAGGGTCACTGCACATGAATATAATCACCTTTGTCCTATGATGAAACATTTCTGTCCTGATGGGAGTGGTCTCTTCTGGCATAACAGTGCCCTCATACAAAGCACAAGCGTTCACTGAACGATTTGATGAGTAGGAAAATGATATAAATCGTGCATTGACTTTTGCAGTCACCAGGTCTCAACATAACTGAGCACCTATGGGAGATTTTAGACTTGGATATTGGACGGCGCTCTTCACCACCATTATCAAAACTGGACGTTTTCTTCAGGACACATGAAGGTGTATCAGCTTGTATTATCCATGCTTGGTTCCAGTGTGAATTATGTGTCATGCCTGGTGTCATGTGTACACACTGCATGAGCAGGCTCTAAACAGTTTGTTGACAAAGAAAATGTTGTGAAGTTAAAGTCACTGTAACGTTATTGGCTACTTAGACTGTAAACTTTGCAGTTGTCACATAACAAGGACACAGAGTGCCATTGCTGCGAAGCACCACAACCTATTCGAGTGCTAATAGCACCCTCTTGTGGACAGTATTTAGTCAGCTGAATGTGAGTGATTTACAAGCCAGGTGAATGAGATGCTTCACACATGTAAAGAAAAAAAAGGTTTTTATTGATCAGATAAAAAGGCATGTAATATTAAGTATCATCTAGTGTTTTTACAATTCTTTTTTATGAATTGGGCACAAAGATTGCATGTCCATATGATATTCATGGAGTTAAAACCTTTACTGCAAATGTGTACATGAAAATGAATGCAAACTGAGCCTATGGAGGAGGAGGAAGTACTTTACATTCTCTGAAATCTAAATAATACATTGTTTAAAATACTAAATATCAAAGATATTGTGTAGGTGTTGAATAGGCATGACATAAATAAAGTGAAGTTGAGGATGATATTAAATCACCTTTTAATGTAATAAATACAGTAAAACAAAGAGATGTTTAATTTATTAGTACATAAAATACTCCAAATTCAAAAATGTGTTTGTAGTTCAGGCACTAAATCTGTAATTGTCAATCCACATTTGTATCCTAACAAGATTACATCATATCTAGTGCCCTTTGTTGCTGGTTTTTTAATATTTGGATAAATACATGCTTTACACACTATTTTTATAGTACAGTGGTTATAGTGAGGTATTTTCACTGAATTTGGCCCTGTGGTTTAACTTGCAGAGAATTCTAAACATGAAGAGATCCACGGATTTGAGGTCTGCTGATTCTCACCTGTTGAAAAGGACAGAAATTATTTCTCGTAACACTTTAGTGTGCTGTCTGCACAGCTATTAACACAACTAATATACTTATTTCTATTTTTCTTTGTCAGTTCTTCCTTCTAGCCTTAAAGTACACCAGGTGTGTCCTTTACAGCTTTTTTTCTTTGTTTTTCCTAATTCCAATAGTTGCAGCCATCTTTGCTAGAATCATCAATCTTTTTGGCTACATCCAAAGGAAATTACATTCATTACTTACTTCCCTAGTGTTTAAAGTTACTTACAGGGTGGTTGTTGTGAAGATACCCAGATGGAATTTGTTGCTGTGGTGAAAAAGAAGGTTGTGTGGAAGAGAGCGATCTCTGTGTTCGGTTACTCTGCTGCCTGTAGAAGTTTTCATCTGCATATGCTACATTATCATATGCTAGGCTAGCAGCTGCAAAACAAAGTAATTATTATTCACACCATTATTCACACCACCATTCACTGTGGTCAAAACAATTCCTGATAACAGATATGCTGTTAGCTCTGCTCTGACACAATTATACTTGTTTATGAACCATAGTTATAATGAACTACAACACTGCTCAGAATGCTCAGCTATAGTTTTAAATCATGTCTAAATTAATGCTTTGTTGATGTTTCATGACGAAGTAATATCGTGGTAAGATGCTGTTTACATGTTGGTACCTGAATGAGATGTGCTCGATCTACTCGGCGAGGGCCACTCAAAGTCATCATCTAGCCATTGATTCACTAGATCATCTTTATTGTCCTTATCCCTATGTAAGAGAGTTGGACAGGAGGAAAAAACATGGGACATTTTATCTCCTAAATTTCCAAGTTGTTTTAGTGTACACACATACAAACACATATGAGTTGACAAAATGTGGCACCTATTTTTAATCCTTTAGTATTCAACAGCACACACCAAGCTTCTTACCTTCTTGTTCTCCTTCTGTTGATGAAGACATAGGCTGACAGCACTGCTACTGCTATTACTAAAACCACTGAAACAACCCCTATTCCAGAATAAAGGCCCACTTTGTTAACTTGGAATTTGCAGTCTTCTCCCAGATACCAATTTGCATCTGTGTGAAGGCAACTACAACACAGAAAATGCCATGGTTATGATCGCCGTCCACAGGAATGTTTTCATTGCATTATTTCAACTTCACAGGTTATCTTCACAAGATACATACTAAACAAACTAATGCATGTCTGACTAGAACTGTTGCACCAAGAGTATTTTAAGATAATGTTTACCAGAATGTTCATAATTCATCTTTATGTTAAAGGACGGTCAGCATAAGACCTTTGAAGGATTATTTTTGAAAAACTCAAACACAAGATTTGAGCATTTGTACTTTTCATGCATTTTGATGAGCTGAATGAATGCATATTAGAGTGACAGGAATATGATATTCAGGATTGTTATACTATAAAGAGAAAAAGGTACTCACTAGCAGGCTGGTCCGTGCCTTGAAACCTCACATGTGCCTCTGTTCTCACATAATTTTGGATTAGGATGATTTTGGTGGCATTGGGTCACACATGTCAACTTGCCCGAGATTGTGACGTTAGAATAATACTGCCGGTACTCTTCAGGAAGCACCGCTGTAGTGTTTTCACACAACTCTAACAAAAAAAGTAGATAGCGTGAGATTCATAAATACATCCAAATGCATGTCCCTATTTTTCTTAGCGGCAGATTACACAATATAAATGTAACATTACCTGTTCCATTCAGTTCGGTTCGTGTGACCTCCGCATTAGTAATAGTGAAGTTTAAATGGCAGTCTTGATTGGGGAAAATGAGGTTTCAAGATTTAGATTAAACCAGTAATCTTTCAAGTAATGCCAAAATGAATAATCTGTAAAGTAGATGGCATTGTCAAGACAACCTACCGCTTGAACAGTTCTGAAGTGCTGAAAGAGTTTCGTACACCTGCACAAGGACCTCATCATAGGCAACAATGTCATTTTGAACCTCCACGACGATGTCATGTTTAACATTTACACTGGAAACAAACAAAGGGATACATGGAGGAAAATCATGTCAAATATTAAGTACGACACATTAAGTACTGTTAAATTACAGACACAGCAGCAGATTTACTAAGTTTTTACACTGTTCCTAACTCTGCTTTGGCAATAAACAGTGATTGTCATGATTTTCTAAAAAGTTGTAACAGCCTTCAGCACCTATAATATGACCAACTGCATATGTATTTATAGGAGTTTTCCTCTCAAAGTGATGATAATGAACCTCTGATTTACCAGTGCTGACAGTGACATGGCTGCTACTGTTTTCGCTCAGAGATAGAGAAAAGAGAGTTTGTCAAACACATTTTTTTCTGGAAATTAACTTTGAATGCCTGGCATGTGAGAATATTCTGAATTCATGAAAGGAAATGCACACAAAACTAATTTGCTTTAGTAAAACCATGCTACACCATGCTGCTTCCTAAAACTGGGTATATTTTACAACTATCAAAAAGCAGGTTTTGCTTTAATGATGATCTGACAGTTGTCTTTTCCAAATGATTGTTACAAACACTTTGAAAATTGTTTAGTATTTCCTGCTTTCCTAAAGCTACTTGTTGCATTACCCGTTCATGTATGTATGTGTGAAATGCTGTGGCTTCTGTGTGTGCTGTGGCAGAAATGTCACAGCCATCCTTTGATGCACTGCACGGGAACTAAAAGGTTACATTCAAAATCAGACAGTTTCCAATTGACCTGGGCACGCTCAGTGAAATTAAATAAAGCAATAAGCCCTGAAAGACGCTGCGTTACTGCTATTTTATCATAGGACAGGGTGTTCAAACCTCCTTCCCCAAAATAAAACCCCCTTCCCCATAATAAACCCTGTAATAAAATAGCAGTAACACCCCCCCCCACACACACACACACACACACAACAATCTATGGTTACACCTCAATTCCTACCATACCAGTCATATCACCAGGCACACTAGTTGCATTTCAGCTGCAGTTCAACCAACAGAAACACTAAGCAGCTCAGACACTGATCCCAAGAATGAAGGAACTAGCAGCAAAGAAAAGGTGCCATGTGTCTAGATAAAGCACTTTTTTTTTAAAGACAATGTTTTTTAAAAACAATGGCCAGTTTAGGTTATAGAAATTTTATTAATGAAATAAAAACACAGGCGTTCTCTGACCCGCGGATTTGTTGAGATTTTTTAAATACGGCCTTTCAGTGTTTGAATTTGACACCCTTCCTTTAGAGCGTGGTATCGTTGCCCAGCAACCATGTTCCGCTGAATTAGGAGAACGTTTGGCCGCCCATCACCGTTTACTGCGGACATGTCATGATATTTTTAACCTTTTGTAGTATTATAGTTAATGAACATATCAACATAGCACTGTTTAATGCAAAAAACGTCGTTTATAAGTACTTTTTCGTCACCAAATTACCACTACGAGTCTTACATAGCACCATTACAACGGCACCTCTTTTACCACGTTGGGGCTAAATGTCAAATAATTCCCTGCTCCCTACATAGTGCACTAGCTAGGTAGGAATTTAAATACTGGCTCCTGCACCACAAAGTTACTTAATTTAGCTGAAACGGAAGGTTTTTCAGAGACTCACTCCAAACGGAGTGCTATGGGAAAAAAAGAAACACCGGCGAGATGACTGCGCGAGCGACTATAGAAACCCACAAATGTAACTAGCTAAGTATTTTCTCCGTTAAAAAATACGATAACCATTGCACTGTCCTGGTTTAATGTCATTTCAATGTATCATGGTCATTTTCTTCATAACAACGATAAAAAATGCTAATAGTATGCTAATGTCTAGGTAGCTAGCTAGCGTTAGCTAAATTTCCCGGTCCACCTTAAATAGTCCAGCGGTACGGACGCCTGAAGCGCCAGAACGTAACTGCTGCATCATTTAAGGTAGAACAGGAAAATTTGAACGAGCAGCTGGCGAATAATTTAGCTGACTTCAGCTTCATATCACCAAAGAATTAGGGCTGGACGATACTAAATAATTATCGCATGTAACTCAGTTCCAAGGGGCAAGGTGACCCTCGAAAACAAGGGGTAGGGGTAAAAATAAGAAATGGGATTGGGCCTTCTACAGTGAATCATGTCGTAAGTAGCTACTTAAATTCAATCCTGTGATATTAATGACGGAGTTGTTTAGACTGTTACCTATCCTTTAGCATGTTCGCTAGCTCACCAGCCTAGTCTTAGTTAAGAAAATAAGTATAGCCCCTAACCTAAAACATAAAACGGGTTCTTACTTCATCAGTACGCTCGGTGGTCCAATGCGAGCCGCATTAGGGTGAAAGATCATTATTAACAGCACAAGGATTTTTCGTGGGCCATTAGTACAGAATTAAGTTGTTGTGGGGCGGTCACAGGTGTGCGGATATGGTGTGTTTTACAACGGCTTCTGAAATGGCTCAACCAGATTTTAGGACCGGAACTATCCGTTTTATAAGAGGGATTTTACGGCAGGGAGTTTCCAGATGGAGTCCGCATGGAACTAAAGTTCTGCTCATCTCACCGGCCAAAAATGAATGTGTCTCATAGCAGAAAGTCACAATAATTACTTCTTTTGTGAAATCTCTGCTGTATTATGTTGAAATTATGTATTATTTTCATAATACTTATTGTATTATTTTCATAATGACTTATGTTAATAAAACTTGACGAGTAACATTCTTTTGACTGCCCAATTCAAAGTCCGAGAAAATAAGTCATCATTTTTGACATAATTCACAGTTTGAAGCTGACACAGAGTAATAATAATAATAATAATAATAATAATAATAATAAAAAAACTCTTTTTACCTCTATCTGGTGGAAACAGACTTTTAGACAAAAAGCACATGAGCATCTATGCAAAATTTCGATAGACTGTTGGTAACACCTCTCTTAGTAATTCTGCCTCATAGGTTCTTGAGCAAAATATTTATTTATGAAAGCTCTGAAATGGTTTTATATTCAGATATACAAATCACCTTGTTACAGTTAAGCTTGTCCTCTCAGTCCACCTTCTGTGTCTTCTCTGGCTGATAGGTTCTCCTTTACTGTTTATGGAGAAAAAAAAAAACATGGTTTACAGGATTTTGTTCCTGAACTGTCATAAAACAATCTTTTGTTCATAATATAGTTGTGTAATGTAATCATTTTTGCATATAAAGCCAGCAGATCTACCTGAGTATTATGTTTGTGATATCAACAAAATTCTTGATATTGGTTTTGTAGAAAGGTGTCATCTGTAAAATGTGTACAGACAAGTAAAGCAAGTGAGCTAACCCACAGTATCAGCAACACTAGGTAGAGACTTGGTTACATCTCTCTACACATTTGACATTTCAGAAGATGCCATGAGAAATAATGCATTCATGTTATGGTTGCGAATGCAGTCTTCTAAACTTACCTGGTTTCTGAAGACTGTTACAAAATCTTGGTATTCAGCTGAGGATGTGTTATCGTATTCAGGAAGGTACTGTTTATTCACTTCTACTTCAGCAATGGCTGACCTTTCAATTACATCTAAAACATTAAAAAGATTTGGGAAAAGATTAAACTAGGCAGAACAAATGTGATGTAATTTTTAATACTAAATATACAGAATATAAACTCTAAGATTTAGTTGTTTATCACCAAGAAAACGTAGTTCTCTATCTTATGTCATGTTCATATTAAATTAGCTACCATTGCTTATTTATATTTAAAATATAGCAACACTTCTCATAAAAGACTAATAATTTCCTATGGTAGTCAATGGACTTCATTGCATATGCACCACTGTCTTCGTCAGTTGTAACAACACATGGGTACTCTAGAACAAAGATTGAGAACCACTGTTCTGCAAAGTGAGTATTTTCCCTGCTTGAACACATGCAGATCAACTCAGAAAAAGCTTGGTAATTATCTGATTAAATGAGTGCCTGTTTAAAAGCAGACAAAACACTAAACTGAGCGAAACAGGGATACACTAAGACAGTGACTATATGAACAGACTGGGAAAATATGTAAAAAAAAAACCAAAAAAAACAAAATAAGAATTTTATAAAAGGGATTCTTTAACAGACCTGGAGCTTTGATTTCAGCTGCAACAGTGTTACATATTCTTCCAGTGAAACCAGGGGGGCAGAGACAGTTGTTGTTGGTTGGAGTTCCTCCATTTTCACACTCTAGAGGAGATTTTGTGCTTGCAGTAGTTTGTGTTGTAGTACTAGAAAACACAGCAGTAGTTGTTGAAATAAGAGGACCCTCTGGTGTGATTGTTACTTCTAAATGATCCGTTGTTGTGGAGGAGTCACTGGATGTCATGCCTGTAACTGATGGTGTTGTTTCCAAGACCTCTACTGTTGTTTCTGAATTTGATGTAGTTGTGAGGGGACTAAATGTAGTTCCCTCTAAATCAACTGTGGTCGTGGCAGAGGCACTGGTTGATATGCCTGCATCCAATGTCGTTGTGTATAAGCCCTCTGTTGTTGTGTCTGCATCTGGTGTAGTTGTGAGAGATCTAAACGTAGTTGTCAAGAAAGTGTCTGATGTAGTTGATGGAAAATTGCCTGTAGTTGATTGTGAAACCTCTAGTGTGATCGTAGAGTCAAATGTTACTATCCCTACATCTGGAGTAGTAATTTCAGAGAACTCTGTTGTTTTTCTTGCATCTGATGTAGTTGAAAAGGGGCTTCCTGTGGTAGTTTCTGAACTGTCTATCACAGTGGCAGGAGCAAAAGTTGTTATCCCTGGATATGATGTAGTTGTTTCCAAACTAATTGAAGATGTAGTGAAAAAAACATCTGTGGTGATTTCTGAAATAACTGTTGTATTTGAAGGGTCAACAGTTATCAATTCTGTACCAGGTGTAGTTCCACCTGAGCCCTCCGTTGTTGAGACTACATCCAATGTTGTTGATGCCAAACTCTTGATTGTTGTTTCTGCATCTGATGTAGTCGTGAAAGGCATATACGTGCTTACAGGTGATACAGATGTGGAAGGAATGAATGTTGGTGCTACTGTATCATCTGTTGTACTGGCAGGGTAAGTGGATGATGTGACTGCATCTGCTGTTGTTGGTTCAAAAACAGATACTGTTCTGCCTGTATCATGTGTAGTTGTATTTGTGTCCTCTACTGTTGTTTCTGTTATAATAGGCATCAATGTAGTTGTTTCTGAACCATCTGTTGTGGCAGAGTCAATGGGTGTAGTGACTGAAGCCAGTGTAGTTGTTTCAAAGCCAACTCCTGCTGTTATTGGATCCAAGCCAGTACTTGTAGTGCTTTCATCTGCTGTTGTGCCTGCACCCTGTGTTGTTGGTTTCAAGCTCCATGCTGTTGTTTCTGGTTGTGATGTTACTGTGGGAAGACTGAATGTTGTTGCTACTACACCGTCTGTTGTACTGGCATGGACACTAGATGTCGGGACTACATTTTTTGTTGTTTCAGAAACAGCTGCTGTTGTACCTGTTTCATGTGTAGTTATATCAAACTCTTGTGTTGTTGTACCTGCATCATGTGTGGTTGTATCCAAATTGTCTGTGGTTGTTTCTGATTCTGATGTAGTTATGATGGTTGTCAATGTTACTGCTTCTGAACCGTCTGTTGTGGCAGAGTCACTGGAGGAAGTGGTTGAATCCAATGTAGTTATTTCCAAATCAGCTGTTGTTGTACCATCATGTGGTATAGTTGTTTCTAAGACAGGTGTGGTTGTTCCTGCAACCTGAGTTGTTGGTTCCCAGGTCGCTGCTGTTGTTTCTGGTTCCGATGTTGTTGAGGAGAGACTGAACGTTGTTTCTACTACACCATCTGTTGTACTGGCATGGACGCTAGATGTCGGGACCACATCTGTTGTTTCAGAAACAGCTGCTGTTGTACCTGTTTCATGTGTAGTTATATCAAACTCTTGTGTTGTTGTACCTGCATCATGTGTGGTTGTATCCAAATTGTCTGTGGTTGTTTCTGTCTCTGATGTGGTTATGATGGTTGTCAATGTTACTGCTTCTGAACTGTCTGTTGTGGCAGAGTCACTGGAGGTAGTGGTTGAATCCAATGTGGTTATTTCCAAATCAGCTGTTGTTGTACCATCATGTGGTATAGTTGTTTCTAAGACAGGTGTGGTTGTTCCTGCAACCTGAGTTGTTGGTTCCCAGGTCGCTGCTGTTGTTTCTGGTTCCGATGTTGTTGAGGGAAGACTGAACGTTGTTTCTACTACACCATCTGTTGTACTGGCATGGACACTAGATGTCGGGACCACATCTGTTGTTTCAGAAACAGCTGCTGTTGTACCTGTTTCATGTGTAGTTTTATCAAACTCTTGTGTTGTTGTTCCTGCATCATGTGTGGTTGTATCCAAATTGTCTGTGGTTGTTTCTGTCTCTGATGTGGTTATGATGGTTGTCAATGTTACTGCTTCTGAACTGTCTGTTGTGGCAGAGTCACTGGATGTAGTGGTTGAATCCAATGTGGTTATTTCCAAATCAGCTGTTGTTGTACCATCATGTGGTATAGTTGTTTCTAAGACAGGTGTGGTTGTTCCTGCAACCTGAGTTGTTGGTTCCCAGGTCGCTGCTGTTGTTTCTGGTTCTGATGTTGTTGACGGAGGACTGAACGTTGTTTCGACTACACCATCTGTTGTACTGGCATGGACGCTAGATGTCAGGACCACATCTGTTGTTTCAGAAACAGCTGCTGTTGTACCTGTTTCATGTGTAGTTATATCAAACTCTTGTGTTGTTGTTCCTGCATCATGTGTGGTTGTGTCCAAATTGTCTGTGGTTGTTTCTGTCTCTGATGTGGTTATGATGGTTGTGAATGTTACCTCTTCTGAACTGTCTGTTGTGGCAGAGTCACTGGATGTAGTGGTTGAATCCAATGTGGTTATTTCCAAATCAGCTGTTGTTGTACCATCATGTGGTATAGTTGTTTCTAAGACAGGTGTGGTTGTTCCTGCAACCGGAGTTGTTGCTTCCCAGGTCGCTGCTGTTGTTTCTGGTTCCAGTGTTGTTGAGGGAAGACTGAATGTTGTTTCTACTACACCATCTGTTGTACTGGCATGGACGCTAGATGTCGGGACCACATCTGTTGTTTCAGAAACAGCTGCTGTTGCACCTGTTTCATGTGTAGTTATATCAAACTCTTGTGTTGTTGTTCCTGCATCATGTGTGGTTGTGTCCAAATTATCTGTGGTTGTTTCTGTCTCTGATGTGGTTATGATGGTTGTCAATGTTACTGCTTCTGAACTGTCTGTTGTGGCAGAGTCACTGGAGGTAGTGGTTGAATCCAATGTGGTTATTTCCAAATCAGCTGTTGTTGTACCATCATGTGGTATAGTTGTTTCTAAGACAGGTGTGGTTGTTCCTGCAACCTGAGTTGTTGCTTCCCAGGTCGCTGCTGTTGTTTCTGGTTCTGATGTTGTTGACGGAGGACTGAACGTTGTTTCGACTACACCATCTGTTGTACTGGCATGGACACTAGATGTCGGGACCACATCTGTTGTTTCAGAAACAGCTGCTGTTGTACCTGTTTCATGTGTAGTTATATCAAACTCTTGTGTTGTTGTACCTACATCATGTGTGGTTGTATCCAAATTGTCTGTGATTGTTTCTGTCTCTGATGTGGTTATGATGGTTGTGAATGTTACTTCTTCTGAACTGTCTGTTGTGGCAGAGTCACTGGATGTAGTGGTTGAATCCAATGTGGTTATTTCCAAATCAGCTGTTGTTGTACCATCATGTGGTATAGTTGTTTCTAAGACAGGTGTGGTTGTTCCTGCAACCTGAGTTGTTGGTTCCCAGGTTGCTGCTGTTGTTTCTGGTTCTGATGTTGTTGACGGAGGACTGAACGTTGTTTCTACTACACCATCTGTTGTACTGACATGGACACTAGATGTTGTGACAACATCTGTTGTTTCAGAAACAGCTGCTGTTGTACCTGTTTCATGTGTAGTTATATCAAACTCTTGTGTTGTTGTACCAGCATCATGTGTGGTTGTATCCAAATTGTCTGTGGTTGTTTCTGTCTCTGATGTGGTTATGATGGTTGTCAATGTTACTGCTTCTGAACCGTCTGTTGTGGCAGAGTCACTGGATGAAGTGGTTGAATCCAATGTGGTTATTTCCAAATCAGCTGTTGTTGTACCATCATGTGGTATAGTTGTTTCTAAGACAGGTGTGGTTGTTCCTGCAACCTGAGTTGTTGCTTCCCAGGTCGCTGCTGTTGTTTCTGGTTCCAGTGTTGTTGACGGAGGACTGAACGTTGTTTCTACTACACCATCTGTTGTACTGGCATGGACACTAGATGTCAGGACCACATCTGGTGTTGTTTCAGAAACAGCTGCTGTTGTACCTGTTTCATGTGTAGTTATATCAAACTCTTGTGTTGTTGATCCTGCATCATGTGTAGTTGTATCCAAATTGTCTGTGGTTGTTTCTGTCTCTGATGTGGTTATGATGGTTGTCAATGTTACTGCTTCTGAACTGTCTGTTGTGGCAGAGTCACTGGATGTAGTGGTTGAATCCAGTGTGGTTATTTCCAAATCAGCTGTTGTTGTACCATCATGTGGTATAGTCATTTCTAAGACAGGTGTGGTTGTTCCTGCAACCTGAGTTGTTGGTTCCCAGGTCGCTGCTGTTGTTTCTGGTTCCGATGTTGAGGAGAGACTGAATGTTGTTTCTGCTACGCCATCTGTTGTACTGGCATGGACGCTAGATGTTGTGACAACATCTGGTGTTGTTTCAGAAACAGCTGCTGTTGTACCTGTTTCATGTGTAGTTATATCAAACTCTTGTGTTGTTGTTCCTGCATCATGTGTGGTTGTGTCCAAATTGTCTGTGGTTGTTTCTGTCTCTGATGTGGTTATGATGGTTGTGAATGTTACTTCTTCCGAACTGTCTGTTGTGGCAGAGTCACTGGAAGTAGTGGTTGAATCCAATGTGGTTATTTCCAAATCAGCTGTTGTTGTGCCATCATGTGGTATAGTTGTTTCTAAGACAGGTGTGGTTGTTTCTGCAACCTGAGTTGTTGGTTCCCAGGTCGCTACTGTTGTTTCTGGTTCTGATGTTTGAGGAGAGACTGAACGTTGTTTCTACTACACCATCTGTTGTACTGGCATGGATGGTTGATGTCGTGAATACATCTGGTGTTGTTTCAGAAACAGCTGCTGTTGTACCTGTTTCATGTGTAGTTATATCAAACTCTTGTGTTGTTGTACCAGCATCATGTGTAGTTGTATCCAAATTGTCTGTGGTTGTTTCTGTCTCTGATGTGGTTATGATGGTTGTCAATGTTACCTCTTCTGAACTGTCTGTTGTGGCAGAGTCACTGGATGTAGTGGTTGAATCCAATGTGGTTATTTCCAAATCAGCTGTTGTTGTACCATCATGTGGTATAGTTGTTTCTAAGACAGGTGTGGTTGTTCCTGCAACCGGAGTTGTTGGTTCCCAGGTCGCTGCTGTTGTTTCTGGTTCTGATGTTGTTAACGGAGGACTGAACGTTGTTTCGACTACACCATCTGTTGTACTGGCATGGACACTAGATGTCGGGCTCACATCTGTTGTTTCAGAAACAGCTGCTGTTGTACCTGTTTCATGTGTAGTTATATCAAACTCTTGTGTTGTTGTACCTACATCATGTGTGGT